TTTTTTTTACAGCTGATTCTCAGTTATCCTTAGAGAGATACACTTTTGTTGAGAGAAGCCTTTTGAAAGCCCATCAGGTAAACTGATGGACTTGACATGAAAGAAGCTATAAGAGGAGGAACGGGCTAGCAGGGAGAGGGAGATGGAAGAGGTGCCCAAAGCTTAGGCATTGGTGCTGCCATGGAAATAGAGATTCTGGACATGAAAAAAGCTATCCAGGAAGCCAAAGAACATTTATTCACGAAAAGCCTCCCACTGGAAAAGAATGTGAAGGCCAGGCCTGGTGTCACACTCCTGCAATTGGAAGGCAGGGGCAGGAGGATTATGAGTTTGAGGCCAGCATGGACTACATAGCAAGCTCAAGGCCAACCTGGGTTATAGAGCAAAAGCCTCTCTCAAAAAGACAAAAACTCAAACAAAAAAAAATACAAAGATCTAGGGAACAGCTCAATAGTAAAGTGCTTATCTAGCATGCACGAGACCTTAGGTTTGATTCCCCGCACCATAAAAATAAAACAACAAAAAAAGACAAACCAGTGTGAAGGTTCTTCAAAAAGCTAAAATCAGAGCTGCCATATTATTCAGTAATCCCACAACTGGGTATACAACCAAGGGAAATGAAATCAGTGTCCCAAAAAGACACCAGAATCCCCCTGCTTATTGCAATACTATCCATAAGAGCAAGAAATGTCAATCAAAAAAAAAAACTCTTGACAAACAATAAAAAGCACCCTCTTCGATTAAAAAAAAAAGTTTGCTGAAGGTATTAGGGTTTTCCCTTCTGCTCATGAATGTATACATTTATTTTTATCAAACTATTTAAAAGCTAGACATCATGACTCTTCAACACAGCATGTGTGTTCCATAAAAACTAGACTAGGACAAGCTTCAGCATGTCCTCAGTACTATTTTCACACTCAATAAATTTAATACATACACTATCATCTTGCACATAGTCCTTATTTGTCTAAATGTCTTCAATTCTCATGAACAATGTCTTTATAGGTCTCTCTCTTTCTCTCTCTCTCTCTCTACTCAGGATCCAATTAAAGACTGCCCAGTGCTTTAGATGGTCAAGTTTCTACTTGCTTTAACTGAAGCGTGTACCTCCTGCATGTGTGGGATTTTGAGGGGAGAGCTGAAAAAAGCAGGAGTGTTCGTTAGGTGGTGACAGTTGTTCTGTAAAATATCCCACAATCTGGATTCACTAGATTTGGGAACATCTACATTATTTGTGAGACCTAGTGCAAAATGAAAAGGCAGGAAACTGTTCAAAAATGAAGAATTTCAAGACAATGGTGACAGAACCTTAAACTGAGCTTGTGTTTGTTCAAAGCAACCCATGAGTTGGTCCCAGTCAGATTTTGTTCTCATTACTTGATGTAAATTTTTTGTTTGAGGGTTTTTACTTTATTTATTATTTTATTTTATTTTGTTGACTTTTTGAGACAGATCTAACTTTGTAGCCCAGGCTGGCCTTGAACTTGAACTCCTCCTACCTCCACCTCCCAATACAGGAGGATTTACAGACGGAATTACAGGTATGCATGACCCTGCCTGGCTAACACGGGGTATTTTTGCCAAGACTGTCACATAAGTGATGTGTGCACCTCTCATCACAGCACACTAGGAAAGCAGTTAGATTTATTTTCCTAGTTTAGTAAAGTTTTCTTGGTAAGTGCTTCTATTCAAATTTGTTTGAATTATCAGAAACACATGGTTCTAACGTTGAATTTCAAAGTCTTGAATCATAAGTGTCTCTTGCCTTTCCCTTCCTTTTCATTTTGATCTTTTTATCTCTCCCACTCCCCTTTTCAAGGGCTTTACGAATTTGTCTTTCAAGTTTTTGACTCCATTTTTGCCATGTCTATTTCTTCTCTTAACTTTTAGCCTCCAGTAGAAATATTAATTCTATTATTAAATTTTTAGTTTTCTACTAAGATTTTCTTGCACTAATCTCCCTTTTCATGTCATGCATTTTCTTTTTAATCTATTTCTCCTTACACATATTCTTCTCTTAGTTATAGAGGCCATGTTTTCTCTCACTCTATGGAAGATGTCAAAACCTTTTCTAAACTTTTCTTTTGGTTCCTAAATTGCTAGTTTCTTAGAAGTCCAAGAATTCAGGATGTGCCCTTTCCCTCATTCTGCAATATTTTTCAAAGACTTTTATCATGTTGATTCTTGTTTCTTTATCGTTCTTCTTAAATTGAAAGAGCTAGGTGGGTGCCAGTGGCTGATGCCTTGTAATCCTAGCTACTCAGAAGGCAGAGATCAAAATGATTGCAGTTCGAAGCCAGCCTGGGCAAATAGTTTGCAAGACCTTATCTCGAAAAAACAAAAAACCTCAAAACCCCATCACAATAAAAGGGCTGGTGGAGTGGATCAAGGTAAAGGTCCTGAGTTCAAACCCCAGTACTGAAAAAAAAAAAATTGAAAGAGCTAACAGACAGTGTGCATTACTCAATACAGGGAGTACTCAAATTTCTCTTGACATCCTCCACAACTCCCTTCTTAGACCACAGCTGTACAGAGGTTATACACAGCTTCCAGCTCAGTTCCCCATATCCAAGAAATGTTTGCCTAGCTTATACAGCTAGACTAAAATGGAATCTTTTCCTAGAAATAAATTCTGGAGTTTCAGCAGTGGGTTATACTTATTTATTTTTCTTCAACATTTTAGCATATATTAACTGTACAAAGGGGTCTCATTGTGGTATTTCCATAAATGAATATCATGTACTTTATTAAATCCACTCCCTTAATTACTTTGGTGAGTTATATTTAAATGTTAATTTGCCCAAGATTTTTCTTCTTATTGTTTTCAGATCCATCAAATATTTATCAAGCACTTTTAATTTATTTATTGTCATGCTGGTACCCTGAAGAGAAGATATCAAGATTGTAAGAATGGGAGAACAGTAAGAAAGGAAGTCAGGGACAGCCACTCCAGGGTGTTGCCCACAACTTAGGAAAGAGCTGAAGAGGAGCCTTGGGGAAATTATGAAAAGAAGGTTAAAAATTACAGACTTTTAAGCAATGCAGAAAATTCTCCTGGCCCAAAAAATATTCACGAGTGCCTTTTTCAGCATCTTTGGAGGTCAGGATAGGAACAGGATGCCTACCAATAGGGTAAGGTGTTTCTAAAAAAGAAAAGAAAGAAAAGCCAATAATAAATCACTGAATAATTGTTCAACTTGTACAGAAACTTCCTTTTTAACCTCTAATTCTCCCTGTAGTCAATCCAGTCCTGACTCCCATTTCACCACTAATACCACTGTGCTAAAGCCAAACATGCTAAGGGCTTCCCACTTGGTAGGCAAGAGCTCTACTACTTGATCCACATCCCCAGCCCTTTTGCTTTTAGTTTGTATTTCCAGAGAGAGTCTCCAGCTAACTTTGCCCAGGCTGACAACAAATCGAGATCCTCCTGTGTCTACCACCCAAGTAGCTGGGATTACAGATGTCCTCCACTATACCTCACACCCCAGCCAGCTGAGATCCTGGCCCAAAGCTCTTTCAATTTTTTTTTTCAGTACTGGGGTTTGAACTCAGAACCTTTACCTTGATCCACTCCACCAGCCCTTTTGTTGTGATGGGGTTTTTGAGGTTTTTTGTTTTTTCGAGATAAGGTCTTACAAACTATTTGCCCAGGCTGACTTCAAACTGCAATCATTTTGATCTCTGCCTCCTGAGTAGCTAGGATTACAGGCGTGAGCCACTGGCCCCTGGCCAGAATAAGAGTTAAGCTTTTTTTTTTTCTTTTTTGGTGAAACTGGGATTTGAACTCAGGGCTTCATGCTTGCAAAGCAGGCACTCTACCACTTGAGCCACCCCTCTACTTAGTAGTCAACAAATGTTTGCTGACTAAATAATGGATGGGTGAATGTTTCATAGTTCACATTAGGCATGTTTATACACATCATCTCATCAGAAGTGTTGGCTTCTTGGACCAGAGGATTGGTAATGTGAAGGAGGATGGCATATGGCAGTGTGACTGAAATATTTGGGGTGGCACAACTTCCTTGAGTGTCCTAATGTAGCTCCCTTCCCTAATGTGACACAACCAAATGTTCAAACATATCCTTCGTTTTTGTTTTCCAATCTGAAGGGAAATGTGCAGTTGTTACAATGTCCTCAATTCCTTCCTTCATTAAATGAAATACCACAGTTATGGCTTGTTCCACAATTCACATAGGGATTTCATGTAGCTTTAATTGTTCTGTCTTTTCTAGCAATTACAAATGTCTTCCCCCTCCAGGAAAGGTGTTTCTTGTTCTGTCTTCCCCTGTAAAGCTGAGAGGAAAGGGGGAGGATAGGAAAGTGGTGGCCATGTGATGGCTTGTCCCTGTCTGAGTGTCTCTGCTGTACTTTAACCATAGCTCTTTATAGCAACCTTGGCGACTTCTTCCTACTGGCTTATTCACAGGGCTTTGTCCTTGCCTAGGGTAGAGCCTGATCTTAACAGTCTTTGTATCACTGGTACCTGAAGCCCAACATGGGCTCAATCAATGTTTATTGAATGAATAACATCCCTCTGCCTACTTCACAATGTCACCTAGGGTACCCTTTGCCAACTTCACAATGTTACTTTCAACTGACCCCGCGCAGAAATGGGGACTTCACGGGGGCTCCCTGGGTTATCTCCTTTCAGCCCTGTGCGAATCACGCTCCCGCGTGGCTCCAGCAAAGTACCATAGTCTGGAGGGGCAGCAAATGGATTTAGGTTAAACCGGCTGGGACCAGGGGCGCTGGTTCCTGAGGGATGAGGGGCCAGGTCCCCGGTTGCTCTGGGCGCCTCCTCCGCTGCCACAGAACGGCCAACTTTGGCGGCAGAGGCCACTGGCGTTGATGTGAGCCGATTCCCTCAAGCCTTGGGCTTCAAAGTGCCCGGCGAGGGCAGAGAAAGCGGCGCGCAGCCTCTGCACTTCCCAGAACTGCAACCGAGAACTTTTCCCAGCCCGGCCCACGGGTTGCAAGAGGGTCAGACACTAAGGACCCGCCTTTCCAGACTGGGGCCCAGTAGGGCGAAGGTTGTTCCCAAGGCCACGTGAAGGTTCCTCAGCCCCTGAAAGCCCTGATTTATGAAAGAAGAAAGCGAAGATCGCCCCAACCTCTGAGACGCAGCGCCCGGATGCCACCCGAGGATCCGCTCGTGCAACAGCTGCCACCGCCGGCCGCGCGGCGCGAGCGCAGAGCGCACCCGAGTGCAGGTCACTGCCCAGCGATGTCCCGCCACGGCCGGGGCGTGCGCTTCGGGCCGCCGCCGGAGCTGCCGCTGCTCCTGCTGCTGCTGCCTTTGACCGCCGCGGTGCAGCCGAGCCCAGCAGGTGAGCCCAGCACCCCCCGCACCCCTGCACCCCAGGCCAGCCAAGTTGGTGTCTGGGTGGACGCCAAGGGGTGCGCTTCTTGGGGGAGTCTAGCCATTCTCCCTGCAGCCCTGTTGTAGCTCCAAGGGTGGCATTTGAGAAGGGCATGGGACTCGTCTGCCAACTTGAAAAGTTTTGGCCAGGATTCTTGGCAGACCAATCGGTTCACTCCTGTAATCAACTGTTGGCCCACAGAGCCTCAGCTCGTCCCAAAGGCTTCAGCCAGGTGTCATCTAAATATGTTTATTTATCCAGTTCATACAGAGGTGTGATTCTGGACTGCCTTTCGGGGTTTTTTTTTTTGTTTTGTTTTTGTTTTTAACCGACAATGACTTTGATTTAAAAAAATGATTGGAATCTGGTCATGTCAGCTTCATATATACCAGAGGACCAAAGGGTGCTATATATTTTTTCATATAATGTTTACTATAATCCTAAATCGTTAATAATCCCCATTATACAGATGAGAAAAATCGAGATTGGTAGGAAGTCAGTTATGTGAATAAAGATAAAGCAGAAAGTTAACACCAAGGGCATTTGTTTCTCTAGTCCTCTCTGGGTAAAACAGTTTTTGTTCATACAGGTGTCCATTCTAATCCCCCCCACCCCATAAAAAGACCAAGATTGTGAACTACAGGGGCAATTAAGACCGGCTGGGGACGATAGCACACGCCTGTGATCCCAGCTACTGGTGAGGCATAGTTAGGATGATTGGATCCCAGACCTGCCAAGGCAAAAATAGAGATATTTCTAAAGCAATCATCTAACGCATAAAAGAGCTGGGGTGGAGCACCTGCCTAGCAAGCATAAGCCCCAGAGTTCAAACCCCAGTACTACCAATAAAAAAATAAATTTGAGAGAGGATTAATTTTGCTTAGTTTGATAATCCATCTTTCTGCTGACCTTGTACAAGAATAGGGTAGGGTTTGGGGAGGGTCCCCTTCCCAAACACATTCAGATTCTTGTTACACCACCTTCCATCAACAAGAATCTGCAGTCACCAGATTTCAAGGTCTTTGCTTTCAAAACTTGCCCAATTATCACTCATCAATCTTAAATCTTTCCAGTCTGTCCAGGTCTCTGGGATCAGAAGCAGTACATCAGGAGGTTCCCAGGCCTTGATTTAGCTGCATGTTCTGTGGCCATGGTGACCTTGGTGCCCTGTGTAGCCCAGAGAGGTAGCTAATTCAGACACCCCTGGGAGGAGCATAGAGAGCGCCCTGGACACAGAGGTGGCTTTTGTGCCTAGAATCATGGCTGCAGTCGTCATTCCTTTTCTGTCCTTTTGGACTATTGGGATTACTTTAAAAGTGTCTGTAGGTAAAGGGAACAGCCTGGGAGTGAGGTGGAGACACCATCTTTCTGAAGGTGGGGCATTGTTTATTCAACAAGATGCTACACCCTGCAGGAAACTACATCTTAAACTGACTTGCCCAATTAGGAGGCTGACTAGAACCTAGGAGGATCCGGAGTCAAAGCAGAAAGCAAAGTTCTTTCTGCTGCTGGGTGATCACACAGCTCCACATCCAGACATCCAGGGAGGCTCCTTGTGATGGCTTTTGGAGGGCCAAGGGTGCCTGGTGATGCCCACGCTGCCAGATGTGGTCTCTGCTTCCTTCTTTCTACTTCCTTTCATCTGTTATTGTTGCAACTTGCTGGACCTTTATCTCGACTTTTGCTACCTCTTACTTGTCTTGTCTTCTCTGAAGTACCTTGGCTCAGGACTTCTGAATTTAGAAGGGACTTGATAAACACCAAAGGGACTGCACTATCATCCCCTTGGAATGAAGTTTATTTTGTCTAATATGTGCCTACTTTCCAAAAACAACTTCTTGAATTTTTGTGGTTTATTTTTTAGGTTTTTTAGTCCAGAAGTTGGCAAATAATTGTACATTCATCTTACCTACATAATTCAAGCTATTAAAGATGTTATGTGTATGTGGAGTCTGAAAAGACCAATATGTATTTTTTAGAATGGCCTTATATAGGTTTGTGTGTGTGTGGCTCTGGGGATCAAACCCAGGTACTTGTGAATGCTAGACATCCCCTCTACCACTGAGCTACACCTCCCAGTCCTCTGGTACAACTTCTCTAAGTGATAGGCACAGTGAAGTCAGGCATGGACCTTGGGAAAACTGGTTCTGAATCTGGCCAGCAATCTTGCAGAAATTCAGTCTTTCCAGTGTTCTAAGTCTGATCAGATCTGAAGACACTGATTCACCTTGGTACATGCCCAAATATGTTCACCAATCTTGTCAATTACTCATAAGAAATATAACTGTCTGACAGACTGGATATTTGGGTAGCCTGCTTCAGGCATATTCTCACTGTAATCAAATCACACAGAGTAGATAATATCAAGGGTTCTCAGACTTGGGCCTGATTCATCTGGCTCTCAGTAGGAACTAGATACTTGCATGAGCCAGTGGGGTGCCCTCCACTGGACAGTGCCTGCTTGGTCCAACTGCCCACAGAGAGGGGATTGGGGGTGGGGCTGCCTGTCCACACTTCTATGACTTACTAGTGCCCACTTGAGGTTGACCTTTCTAGACAGGTCAGACCTTTAGTTGTTGAAGAGTTTACTGGTCCTGGGAGTTATTTGGTCTGACCTAAGGTGACTTGACATTCGGGTTGGATCCAATTTCAGTTGATGCTATAACTCTGAGGGCAATCTTTGTTTTGTTGACACAGGGTCTCACTATGCAGCCCAGGCTGGCCTTTAACTGGTGATCCTTCTGCCTCAGCCTTCCAAGTGCTGGAATTAACAGATGTATGCCACCATGCCCAGCAAAGCAATCTTGTTTCCAAACCAATTAAAGGTAGGACCTGACAGTTGCTCTATAGGTTCAATCTTCATATGGCACTTTTTTTTTTTTTTGGTGGTCTTGGGCTTTGAACTCAGGGCTTAGATTAGACAGATGCTCTACCATGTGAACCACACTTCCAGCCCTCAATCTTTATATGGAAGTTCTTTGTTCTTGGAAGTATGGTATTAGAGAGATGTAGCATAGATTTCGAGAAACAAAAGATCTCTTGGAACCTTACTGCCTGGATTTGAATCTTGGCTCTCACACTTACTATTCAACCTGTAGTCATTTAACTTCTCTATGCCTCAGTTTCCTCATCTGCAAAGTGGGAAATAATAGCATGTATCTCATAAGATGTTGTAAGATGCAGTACCTGGCATACAGTATGTGCTATGTAATCAAGGACCCATTATTGTTGGTATTCGAGTTGCTTTTTTCTAGAAAGGCATCATAGGTATCTTGATGAGGTGGACAGGATTGCAGATGATAGTCTATGTGATTCAGAGCTCTGTTGGACACAGTGGAATGACACCTGTCATTCCAACACCAGGAGGCGTGGCGTGTAAGGAAAAGGCCCTATAAAGAAGGAGACAGAGGAGGGGAAAGAGGAAGAAGAGGAGGGAAAAGACAAGGAGAATTATTATTTGGGAGGCTGAGATTGTGAGGATAGCAGTTCCAAGCCAGCCTGGGCAAAAAAGTTTGTGAGACTCCATCTCAATGGAGAAAAAGCTGAGCATGGCGGCGTGTGCCTGTCATCCTACCAAGGTAGGAAGCATAAGAGGATCGGGATCCAGGCCAGCCTGAGCAAAAAGCAAAACCCTATCTCCAAAAATAACCATAGCAAAAAGGGCTGGAGGCGCAACTCAACAGATAGAGTACCTGCTGAGAAAAAAACTGCCGTACTGCCAAAAAAAGAAAAGACAGGAGGAGAAGGAGGAGGAGGAGAGAGTATTTCCTTAACTATGGCCCAACATTTGCAGATTGCACATTAAACACATGTTTCAAAAAACAGTGAGCAGAGTTCTAGGTTACATTCCTTGGCTGAAACTAATGTACATCACCTTGATGGGTTTTTCTTCAATTCTTTTTTTTTTTTTTGCAGTACTGGGGCTTGAACTCAGGGCCTACACCTTGAGCCACTCCTGTTTTGTGAAGGGTTTTTCAAGATAGGGTCTCACAGATTGGCTTCCAACCTCAATCCTCCTGATCTCTGCCTCCTAAATAGATAGGATTGCAGGCGTGGGCCACCGGACTGACTTCCTTAATTCATTTTTATTAACTGTATCTGTTTTAGAATTTTCCAACTCTTTTTCTTCCTAAAACTTCATTCCACTACATTGGTGTTTCAGACCCAAAAAGACTCAGTGGTCCCTGTAAACTTAAACAATTTCTCCCTGCATCAGTTTATTTTAAAAAATATATACAAGATAAATTTCAGAACAATTCCCGACACAAGTACCCATTTATCTTTCTTATTAAACTTTCTTTTCTAGTCTTTCTAGAAACATGAATCCAGTAGCAACAATCAAAATATTTCTCTAGAAGAAAGCTATACAAGATCCTTTTTCAATATTTAAATTGAGGCAGAACAGTTTTTTTAATTTCATTGTGATTTATTTCCATAATCTAGAAACTATGAGTCATGTGGACTTTGTTCTGCCACACAGAACAACTTTCACTTTTTTTTGGACTTCTGTAAGCATTAATTTTACATTGTCACTTGTCTTTTGTTCTTGTTAGATCCCAAGTTGTAAAGCATGAACTATTAAGAAAGCAAAAGCAGCAAGATGAGTAGCAACAATCATGGAAAGAATCTCAAAGGATTTATTTTCTTCAACATTTTAAGTTGGTTCATGCATTTAGCTTTGGTTTCTCTTTTTTCTTTTATGGGGGACAGTACTGGGGCTTGAACTCACAGCCTCACACTTGCTAGGTAGGCACTCTCCAACTTGAGCCACTCTGCCAGGCCATGTTTGTTTTGTTCTGGAGACAGTGTCTCACTATGTACCCCAGGCTGGCCTGGCGCTGGAAATCCTTCTGCCTGTGTCTCTCAATTGCTGGGATTACAGGTATGCACCACTGCATAATTTTTTTATGCAGTTCTATTTGTTCCTGCAAGTTAAATTTCACAATCTTGTGAAAACTTAGCTTTAC